GGAGATGTGCATCCGCAGCCGATGTCCTGGAATCCAAATAGAATGACGAGACAAGTGTGCTGTCGTCAGCAAAGTAATATATTGGATTCTTGGTTTATTTCCACAAGTTATTGATATTAAATAAAAAGAGGGTTGGAGACAATATGAACCCCTGGGGAACAGCAGTGTTGATGGTAAAAGTATTCGAGAGATATTCATCGACGTCCATTTGCAGGGAACGTTTTTTCAGGAAGCTGGAAAGCTATACACAAAAATGAAACGACAAGCCATAGCATAGAAATTTGGCCAGCAAACCCTCATGCCACACACGGTCAAAGGCCTCAGGAATATCAAGCGCAACAGCTCTTGACTCTCCATGGTTCTCGATTGCGTTATTCCAAATATGGGAGCCGTACAATGATAGGTCGCCTGTTGATATTTGTTTCTGAAAGCCATATTGATGTACACTCAATATATTGCCTTCCAATCATTTGAGAATATGGTGGTTTACGGCATTCTCCATGATTTTTTATATCACTGGATAGCAAAGCGATTGGTCTATAATTATTTGGAAGAGTTTTCTTGCCATTTCTGGGAATAGGCTGAACACGAGCAATCTTTCAATAAGAAGGAAGAACCTCTCCTTGTAAGACAGGTTAAAAAGTTTGCAAAATACTGGTGTGAGTTCATTTGCGCACATTTTAAGTGAGATGACGGGTACTCCATCAGGCCAGACGCCTTGTTGATATTCGTCTGTTTCAAAATTCGCCTGACTAGTGTGGGAATAGTGGGTGGTGTCTTTCCCAGAAAATCGACTGTGGAGTGGGACGCGAATAGGGAATAGTGGAAATGGATGAATCCTTTCATCGACAGATATATATCCAGGAATAAATATTACTGGAGTTTTTTCCCAACACCAAATCGTTATTTTTAACACCTCGACACGTGTTTCGATCACCAAGTGATCATCTTCAAAGAGGAAGATTAAAATTAGTTTCTAGTTTTCTAGTTTCAGTTTCTAGTTTTAATCTTCCTCTTTGAAGATGATCGCTTGGTGATCGAAACATATGTCGAGGTGTTAAAAATAACGATTTGGTGTTGGGGAAAAAAACTCCAGTAATATTCATTACTACACCAAAGGTTCCAAACAATGCATCATAAGTATATATCCAGGAATTGATGCATAAGCATGACCTCTCTTTGTGGTGGGATTACCGCAAATCATTTGGAAAACTCGTCTCACCATCTGATCCGGCTAGAGCCCCAATGAAGCTGGTCACCTTTAAAAGGTAGGTACTTCAGTTGCTATTCCCCGTTCCGCTGGAAAATATTTGTTGATCAAACTGCGACAGCCTCATAGATTTAAGATATAAGGCCACCCATCGATGATCTTAACCTTTATATCTCAGGAAGAAAAGTATTCATCAGTCCTTAAGGGCGGTGGAAGAGTACTCTGCATGGAATAGATAATTGTGCAACGGCAGTAGACAGCATCTGCATCTTACACTATTAGGATGACGGGGTCGAACAACACCATTTCCCAAGAAGTAGTGACAGTACTGAGCTCAATGAACTACGCAACCCGATAACCCCGGATGATGTTCGAAGAGCCATTGTGGGTTTCAAGAACTTTGCTGCTTCAGGCCCAGATGGGCTGAACACTTATTGGCGGAAAAAACTACCAAGCAACCACCGCCATCTGGCCAGGGTTTTCCATTCATGGCTGGACGGAGAGCAGCCGATTCCGGATTGGTTTGTTGAGGAGCGGACCGTTCCCATCCCCAAAAGCCAAGATTTGTCGATTCCTAAGAATCACAGACCGATAACATGCTTGAATTCGTGTTATAAGTTGATTACAAGCATCTTATACACACGAATACTCATAACACAGTTGATGGAAGCATCATACATCATTTGGATGCCGTAGAGAGGTATACTTACCTCGGGGTGGAAAACGCCACTCACAATAGGTAGCAGCAGTGAAGAATTCTCTTCGCGGCAAGTATCAGCACAAATTCCGAAAGATCTGGCCGTAGTTAATGTCGGGGAAGAACAAAATATGCTTGCCGTTCCAATCTTACTCTACGCGTTTGGAGTAGTGAAGTGGACTCGAAAGGAGCTGTATCAACTCGACGTAAATACCCGAAAAAAATTCATCTCCATAGGAGTTTGTATCCCAAATCGTCCGTTCCGAGGTTGTACTTCCCCGACAACAGGCAGGCCGTGCACTTTTGAGTTTGAAGAATCTTCATGATAGAATAATACTGGATGTAGCCTGTAAAGTCGTCAGGATTTCGAATTCCCTTCTCTGCATGGTCCGCGACCATAAGGGAGCAGGAATTGAAGAATTTCTCTTTAGGGCAACTGCCCAAGCAGCTTATGAACTCGGTTTAGTTTTCGACACTGAACGAGGTGATCACAACTCTGTCACCGAGTTGGAACCCGTTCAGCAAAAGGCTCATATAAAAACCGCAGAGGGCACTTCTCTTCTGCGACAACACAAGGATAAGCCAATGCATGGGGTCTTCTTCAATACCATTGAAGACCTTCATCATGGCATGCCAGGATGGTGTCTTCAACGCATCAGTTTACCGTAGCGGCGAGGCGTCCGAGACCCTAATGCACTTGCTGTCAGCATGTCCAGTATATGCGGTCTCGGCCTTCATTAACATCTACGGCACTCTTACGGTACTGACGAGACACCGGTGTTGCCCTATGCTCCGGAGAATATTGAATCCTGATATGGAATTGTGGGGAACGAGAAGTGCTGCATTTATGGGAACTATTCGTTTCGCACCCTCAAGCTCTTACAAGGTAATAAGCCTGATATCCTTCTCGACCACCAGAGCAAGATGATATTTGTCGGGGAGTTTTCAGCTCCTGGTGAGACGAATATTGGCCGAAAAAAGGAGGAAAAACGGATAAAATATCGAAATTTTCTCTTCAAACTTCGCAGACTCTATCCAGACCACTCTGTCAAGATGGTTATTCTGATTTTTGAAGTTCTTGATGGAATGATGGCCTCTCTACTCTCAAATCTTAAAATCATACCGGCTTGCCGCACTAAAGCAGAAATCTTAGCCTGGCAGATGATTCTTGGAACCAGTGATCACTAACGGTGTGGGTAGTGGTCGTTGGTTGATAATGGTGGCGCGCCTTCCCGAATGTATCGGGACTTCGGAGGATAGGGCCTGACCAGAGCAAACTTCGTTGGAAAAAAATAATATCAATAGTAGAAACGTAATTAAATAACTATTCATTGTGAGATTTCACAGTTTACATGATTATACAAATAACTTCTCCAGGTATGTTCAGCAATAACTAATATAATTTCTACATTGTGTTTGTCATATATCTTTTTACACTACTACTATATTTTATTACGAAACTAGTACATTTTTATCATTGCTAGGAACAAACTCATTAAAACTACCATAATATATGATAAGTACAATGTTGAAGTTGAGTTCGTCAGTTCTGAACACGTCTGAAGAAACTGTTGTATAGTGAAACACGCGTTGCAGTTTTGTAAACTGTCAAGTGTAAATCTCACGATAAAGTATTATTTGAATACATTATAATGGATTTTCATCAAGTATCGGTGTTTCATCACATAGGTGTTTATTGGGAATATTTCTAAAATTTTCATACAACAGATACAAATTCTGTAATCTCGAGGGAATAGATTTTATGGCAAAGTAGTGCTGTTTAAAAACAGAAGTGGGTATTTAAAAGTGCTCCAATATCGTTCCTCAATATTTTTTGGGTTTTTTTCGGAGAGCCCAATTACTCAGTAATTTGTATTTATAAATTTCACACAGATCTTTTTCAAACAGCTAACGTTTTGTAAAAAAATATTTTCCGATTTCAAAACGTGAAAAATTACTTTCGATTACGCCTCTTTTAAAGGGGAACAAAATGTCAAGATGTCATATTCTAAAGTCTGCAAGAACACACGCACGCATACACGCACCCACGCACGCACACGCGCGGGCACACACACGCGCAAGCAAGCACGCACACACACACAACAAGTGTGCTAGATAGTTTTTATCTTTGGTTTTTTGGGTAAAGATTCGTCGATCGCCCAGAGGGTTTGAGAGCGGATTTTTGAGTTAGACTGCCGAACCACGTTGTGCTAATAAATGAATAGCATTTAAGTTAATAGGCTGATAATTCTTTGCTTTTGGTTTTTTAAGCTCAAAACCATCCTTTGGAAAGTCGTTGTTTGTGACTGCGAATTATTCCAGCTTTTTAACCGAAGGTCGGACGGTAGCCGATCGGTTCAACGTGGGTGCTTTGTTCACTTACTCAAATCGACCGCCGTGTTGGTCTCTGGTTCAAACCCCAGGCTGAACGATCGATTTTCACTTGCTATCGTCCAACCTGTGTTATGAATCACACGTTAAAAGGTAAGACATCGTTAGTCCTTAGCTCGCACAAGTTTCGACTTCTGAGGGTTGTCGTTCGTAAGGGTGCGACAGCTGGTTAACGGAAAAACAGATTTTTTTAAACATCGCTGAATTAAGTACCAGCTACTGTCCTATCAACTGTGATTTATTATTGTAACTGATACCTCACCACAAAATATAGCATCCCGAGGTAGCGTTTCATAACAACTTTTTTTGGAAAAGGACACATATATTCTTTTGGTAATCAATTTTGACATATTTAGACTTCCCTCTTATCTGCAGATATTTCAGTGCCCATTGTTTACTTTACTCAAAAATACTTTCAGTGCACATTTGACCCGAGGAAAGAATCAGGAAGATCGAGGATTACTATCTTATTGTGCATTGGGTTATTCTTATGTGGCCACAGCTTTTATTGAAGCCTTCTGCTGAATTGATTCCAGCTTGGTAACAGAATTATACTCACCTCATTTCGTGTCGAATTTTGTACATTGTTAGTTGTAGTAATCAATTTTCGTTCAAAATCATTTATTTGTGTGATCTTTAGTGTATTTTTTTATATCTCCGAAGTGTATTATACTTTTTAGGGAAGTAGATGCAGAAAATATATTCTTGAACAATGAACAATTTAATAATGAAATCAAAATATACTGATAACGTCACATTTTTTATCAATCTCTTCCCCACGTGTGGGTATTGAGAGGTCTGTCAATTCGATATATTTTTTCTCCCAGTGTAAAATATCCTAAATATTCAGCACTCTCTGGCGTCGTGTCATAATGGTAATGTCCAGCTTCACCGTGATGACTGAAACTATGAAAATGTTGAACTCTCAAATCCAAGCCCTGAAAATAAAATAGATATTATGAAAGTATAATGAATATGTGCTTTATGTTGCAGAATATTCGGTTATTTTTCTGATCTAACCCTTACAATGAGTCACAGGTAAGATGATAATTCGAACTCATATTTTACTAGCCATCACCCTTTTTCTTGGCTTTATATACTGAAAAAATTCTTCAATACACTTCAATATATATTGAAAAATGTTGTAATTTAATTAAACATTTGCTTCCAGGTCGATATGTAGATTTCGAACATCTAGCGTAAAATATATCTAATGAAAACACATTTTCCACATCAGAACAAAAACACTCTCGACCTCCCGACGATATTAATTTCATTAGGGAAAAGCTAAAACAATTATATAAAAAGAAAATAATATCGCAAGTGCCAGAAAAAATAAATGAAGGTATTAATTCAATTCAATTCAATTCAATTCCGTTTATTGTCCCAAGAAACAATTAAATTAAATTAGTAATTAATTAATTAATAATTAATTAAATTAAATTAAACAATTGAATTCGAAAATTTAAAAATGCTCATTTGTGAAAAAAACAAATGATAGTCCAAATGTCTCAGAGTATCAGAGATAGCCCGTTACCTGAAGACGATTATGAATACTAACAATCGAAACGTATTTGGTTTGAAATTTTCATTCTTTCTTTTTCCCCTTTGAGTTTTTTGCTTTCTCCATCATTTCTCTTCTCATTAATTTTTTGGAGATACTTTACAATTTTTGAAAACCACTGAGCTGAATTTAACAAGAATTTACTTTTGATGAATATACGAATTGAATAAGAAAAGATATAATGATAAAAAGTCAATCTCATCGCAATCACATAAAATGAGCCTGCTGATATACTTAATTGTTCATTCGTGGAGACTGGTATATTTTGGGAAAAAAGTTTTTCAAGTGGGCCAGTTCGTATTTGAAAGTAACTTCTAGGTATGATTAAAATATATCTGTAAGAGTTTATTTTGGGCTTATTTTCTTTCTTACTTTCTTACAGTTTCCCACATTTTTGCCTGGATCATGATTGAAATTCTAAATTGAAAAAAATCTAGAATATCCAGATTGGACACATTGTAGTCACATTTCTATCAAGAGGTTAATGTAAAGATCCGACGTTACTATCTAATCATTCCTACATGATAAACGTAAAATATATTTTGGGAAAGAGGAGTTTTAGGCTTTCTAATTCTCTATCTTTATACAGAAAAGTAAGAAACTGCGGAAAGAAACAAGGAAGCAATTGAATTAAAAATGAATTCTTTACAAACATGTGTAAATCATGCACAAAAATTACTTTCAGATACAAACTGGAAGAAAAAACCCTCTCAAAACAATAACTTTCACGTGAACATTAAATTATAGAAAATGAGAAGTACTTTCGAAACAACTACTTTTATATGAGAACTAGCTTTTGCCCGCGGCTTCGCTTGCGTTAAGAATTATTATTATTAATTAGGTATAGTTTTTGCGGCTTTACTTTTATTTAGCATGTGTAAAAAATTAGGGCCTACAAAACTTCTTTGCACACAATATTCTTAACTAATCTGTCATTAGGCGCTAAAACTATCAAGCTATTGGGTGAACTTACTAGTGAGAGTTTGCCCCTGAGACTTGTTTATTGTCACGGCAAAACAGACTTTAGGGGAAACTGTAATCGTTTGAATTAGAACGGGATATCATTAGGTATTAATGGGATTCGTGGTATAAATACAGTTTCCCCTTTCGCACACCCAGTTAATATAGTGGCTTCCACTATATTGCGATGTAACGCTTTCACTTGCAGTCTCGTACCGTTACAAAGTTTTGGTGGTTTAAAATTTCGCAACAACATAATTGGAGTGCCCACACGCAGAATAAGGCAAACCTGGCGGTTTCAATGAATTTAAAAATTCTACAGGGTAATTAGTAGCGTCATCTGTAAACCACAGTATCAATCGAAGTATAGACCTTTTCTTCGCTCTCAAACATCATGAGCAGGATATCATTGATAGCTGCTGCTTGATCGTTCTTTGGAGTAAGTATGGCACGCTCGCTTAACCATTCAATAGGCTTGTCATGTATATGAATAATGTCTGGATAAACTTTAGACAGCAATTCTAGAACCGTAGTAACAAATGTGCACAATTCTTCTGGGATGGTTATCATTCCATCAAACGATGGAAAATCACCATTACCGATTTTAAGAAGGAGATCTGAAAATCTACCAGCAGACTCATCCCCGCCCAAATGTGCTCTCATATTTCTAGAGAGCTCAAGAATATTAACCTGGGGCCACAAATTAAATTTCTTAATGCACGACTTTACTTCGTCAGGTCTGGCTCCTTTTGGCACCACTGGTAGAGTCTGCCGAAAGTCTCCGGCCAGCAAAACTGTTACGCCACCCATTAATTTTGTATTACTCCTTATATCTCTTAGTGATCTGTTTAAGACATCAATACCACCTTTATGAGTCATCGTTATTTCGTTCCACACGATCATTTTTGTACTCTTTAAAACTTCAGCAAAATTACTTTGTTTGGAGATGTTGCAAATGGGAGTCTCGGCAGTGATTAAATTGAGTGGTATCTTAAAAGTAGCATGAGCAGTTCGACCACCTTCGAGTAATGTGGCAGCTATACCGGACGACGCCACAGCCAGGGCAATGCCGTAAGTACTTCTTACTTTCGCCAAAAGTAAATTAATAAGGAAGGTTTTACCAGTTCCACCTGAAACGTCTAAGAAGAATATTCGACCGTCATTTGCATCTACACTTCCTGTTGCTCGTCATTCAGGGATGCTTCATTTTTTCTTACTGCGTAAGGCCAGTGTATCGTAACTGGTCTCTTTCACGTACTCTCTATTTTCAAAATGTATTGATGTTATTGGCTGAGGTAATCCACATTCTTCAAAAGGACGGCCACCTAATGATAATACGGCATCCTCTAATACCGGCATTTGTTAAATATCAGGTCCGATGAGTGCTCTACATCCACGTCACCTTGTCTTTCCAGTTGCTTTTTAAGGTCTTCAGAAAGGTATTCTTTGTATTTTTCCCAAACACATAGGGGGTCTGAAACCTGGCAGAACAATAAAATGATAACAAAAAGCTCTCGAATCATATGCGGTGTTTGACAAAGTGCTGCCTCTTCAAGAGTTGAATCCAAATGCCGATCATCTTCGAGTATACCTAGAGTCTTGCACACAGATTGGAAAGTGGGATGTAAGTGACCATCTACAGTTTCCAACGCTTCAAATGAAATTGGGCCTCTGATGCGTTTTTTCGTGCATGTATCTTGGTCCACCAGTGAAAGATGATGGAAGTACTACCATTTGTCCCAGCTGATTTGCTTTAGTATCTTGCCGTCCAATTGCATCTTTTAAATGAATATAATTATCTGCGCGCAATTTCGTTTGATTGTTTTTTATGTAGTTTATTCTTTCAATTTCTATTTTTGCGTATTCATCTACCAAATATTGACTAAAAAGAGCGCGATATTTAACCAAAAAGTTAACTTCTCCTTCTCTGATTATTATTCTGTATGAATAAAAACTTACAACAGAGACTGTTTTTTTCAAAGGCAACTTAGTTGTGGAATCGCATTATGGTATTTTGATTGAATAGCCATCATCCCCCAGTAAAACATCAACGGGTACTACAGCGCGTCATAAGCTCGATGTATCTCTCTGATACGCTGAAGTGAGTTACTTCGGTTTTCGAGGATGATGTCTCTTCGGTCAAAATGCTGATCTACCAATAGAACAGCCACTTCATTTGCTGTTCGTGCATTAAATCAGCCTCTGTGTTCTCTTTGTGGTTTTTTATCTGCATGTATTACGACCTTGAATGACTCTGAAGGCGATATTTCATCAATGGCTGTTTTTAGATCTTTTATGTATGGGTTCACCTCATGTAACATAAGCTGCAATTGTTTGATTAAATTTGGTCTCAAATCAGGAAATTTTGAACATCGAATATTAGCTTCTCTATCATCTTCACCGACGAAATAAATTTGCAGAAACTGTGCATCCTGCCCAGGTTCCGGTAATATACTTCCAATTAAATGATAGACTCGTCCTTGAACTTCAAAAGTTGGTGAAATACCGCCTTCTTTTATTTGTTTTCCACCAAAGGAAGTCATTTGAAAACAGGCATTATATTTTCGGATATTATCCATGAAGTTTACATGATTAACCAGATTATGAAGTGGTTCAGGCAGTTGTTTAAACGGCTCAAGTTGTACTTTACCGGCGCTACAACACATGCCAGGAGTCTCATCTTTCCACTTCAAGGTTACACCACTGACACTTGTACGTCATAGAACCAAAGACTACACTGGTGTCAGTTCCATAAGCAATTTCTGGGTCATACGCCAAACCCGAAAGCAACTTGCTTCTCCATACAAGCTGAATTATATTTTCTCTATACCGTGACTGAATCATTCTATGCATATCGGTATTCCTGGCCTGATATAGTGCAGCAGATTGCCTGTGTTTCTCAGGGTGTGCAGCCTGGTAGGTGGCGACAGCTTGCCTCTGTACATCAGGGTTTTTTTCTTATATTCAGACACAGCTTTACGGTGGAATTCAGGTAGAGTCTGTCCATATTTTTTTTCGTGCTGTCCATATTTGATTTTTTCGTGTGTAATTAGTAAACCTTGCCCTACGTTTGTTTTTCTTTTTTTCTATTAATGTCACAGACTCAGTTGGGACAATAAACTTTTTATCACATTTTTATCATAATTTATTGAAGATACAATAAGTGAATGTTCACGCTCTAAAACAGGTACCTCCTGACAATCCTTATCAACTTTAAGTTGTCGTTAGATCCAGATTCCGAATATATGAGATGGTTTCTATAAACTTCAAACTTGCTATCTATCCTGCTATCCTGCTGCTATTAACTCACAAAATCCGCCATAAGTAGCATTTTGCATCATATCAGCAAAATATTCGTCAGGTGTTACGTATTTATCACCACCTGTCGTGGGTCATAATTGAAAACTTGCTCCA